CCCCCCCCCCCCATATCCTTCCCCCCGCCAACTTAATGAAAGGTCATGCATCAATTTTTTATAATTGTAATCCATCAGAATGTCCAACAGCTGATTTCTGTTGTTATTTTCGAGCGTCTGAGTACGGTATCATGTCTGCAGCGAATAAACAATTCGCTCAGGAATATTATTGCAAACTAATGACGCTGCCTTCGCAATTGTTTGCTTGTCGTTAGGCATACAAATGTCTTTGTTCGTATGAACAATATTGTACTTTACAATGGAAATCATCTTAACTTAAATTTACTTTATTACGAATTATTGTATTTCATCGCTGCTCCTCCAATGACCTTTGGAAATAGCAAGTTTCGTTAAACCACGTATGCATTTAAATTTACAGATTCATTTTATTTCGAGAAAATCCTTTAAAGCGACAATTGTTATTTTATTTTGTACACGTTAATAGGCCTGTTATTAACTGGCACGAGCTAGGTGTAAATGAAAGATAAAGAAACAAATTTACTTATAACATTTTATGTTATATAGATATATATATATATATATATATATATATATATATACGTGTTTATTATCCGTGAAAGGGCAATATAATTTTATAATGCAGCAAATCATATTTTGTAAGGCCAAGTACATAAACAATATAAAGTATTTAATAGTATTGCAATTTTTTTGGAATTAAAAAAAAATAATCATTAGGCAATCTCTCTCTCACTCTCTCACTCGATAAAAAATCATACTTAAATAACGTGCAATCGTAATCTTAAAAAGATATATAAATGAGTGCGAGACTATATGCATACACACTTGTATATATGTACACTTGTGAATATGCATATGTATGTACGCACATACATTAACAATGAATTATTCAACATCGTTCGTATTTTTATTTCAGAGGAATTTATTAACAAGTTTAATAATAAACAGAAAATATCAATGTTATGGCGCTTCATGCTATAAATATGCTATTTTGCAATTTCAATACAATAATTATAAATTATATTGAGATCGGTGTTTTAAACTTTATTTCATTGAACAAATGTTTTAGAGACAAATTTTTATATCACGAAAAAAAAAACCACAAATATAGGCAATGCGCAACATTGATCTTGCTGTAAATGCATTAACGTTGGCTTTTGACAATGATTGATTAAATTTGTCATAATTATAAGTTCTATATGCTTTTTTACACACATAAACTATTGATCAGAAATTATTTATTTGCAACAGATGAAAGATGCTAATGTGATAAAATGCACATAATCCTTATCTCTACGTATCACTCACAAGTACAATGTTAGGAAACAGTGTATTATATCACAATGTCACTTCAAGTAATTTGAAGAAAAATTGTAAATCAAATTTGTCGAGCCAAGGATAAACATTAGATTAATTCCATTGCAAAATCAAGACTTTTCTGCGATATTAACATCATATTGTAATCTGTTTAATTTGCGTTTACCATCGATTATCTCTAGTATTTTAAATTTTATATAAAAATATAATAAACGTAAAAACACAATAAATAACAATTTTATAGTTTCACCACTTACCTAGATGCAATTTGCATTTACGATCGTCATTAAAACGTATAAAATTATTGTCTTTACAATATAGTTGGAACTAATACATTAGTTGCTAGTCCATTGAATAAAAATGATTTTACTATTATGAAATATTTTTAGTACTGTATTTCTTTGTAGAATCTGCGTTGGATTGGATAAAATACAAATGTATCGAAAGAATAATACACGTGAACTGAAATGAAATTGAATTTGAAAGGAAATTGAGTTTTAATTATTAGTTAGTGTTAATAATCGAACATATTGTTGCGACATTTGTAAGTTTTTGAAATTAGACAGTTGTTATGAAAAACTTAAAATACAAGTGACTATTTACAAAGTCATTGTTTCTCAGCTGTGATGTTATGAAATATATTTCCGACTGACCTACACGTAAATAACATATTTAAATAATATATCCTCAACGCAAACTTAAAGACTCCATTAATCGTTTAGTTTCGTAACGTGATTTTCAATTATGTTTAAACATAATTTTGTCTCTTCTTTGTTATTCGTCTTCCTAATTACAGTCAGCCTGTTGATTATTAATTATTTGTTATAATAAAGCGATAAAATTGCTTATTGTAGGTATTAAATCAGTCTTGGCGCTGAATTGGCTAAAATTACAGTCAGGAGCTTCACCAGAATCTTCGAAGGAAAGAAAAAAGAATTGTAATTCTTCTGCTTATTCGCAGGAGCACTGAATAATCTCTAATGCTTGCAAAAAAAAAAATAAAAAATAAATAAAATTGTGCCCCCTAAAGGCTCGAATCTTGATTTTGAATTATACTTTTATTATCTTTTACTTCTAAACAGTATTTCACTACCTATGTCAGCACTATCAGCGGCCCGATAATTCAATATTCTAAGAGAATTTATGCTTTATTATCAATCGATTAAGTAATTTGTATATAATTTACAACCGCTAATTCGATCTCGTCTACCGTACTTGCCTAGTGAATTGTAATTAAAGAGACTCGTGGCCAAAACTGCCAATTAGTCATTAGCCATAGAGAGACCTGAAATTACAGACTTGCGCTAAGCCTACGACGTTTGCGTTTGGAAAACATAAAACAGAAAAAGGTCCCGTCGCTGATAGGCTATTGAACAACACAAAAACAACCCAACAAGAACACTCCGACGCTTCACGTACTTGCAAAAGATTCGAACGAAAGTCTATCGATGATAATCACCCGCCCCTCCCCCGAGATGGATAATTCGCTACACTATCGAAACTTAATCTGTCGATCGGTTAAACCGGTTAATCATCCGAGCTCTCGTCACGTCCCGAAAACCTCTCGCAGGCAGTAGCCGAGTCAGCGAATGCGGCCCGTTGACGCTCCTATCAAAAGCCCGTTAATTGCGCTCGCGATCGGCCCATTTGGGATCGCGAGCGGTGAACAACAAAAGACGACGGCAGCGCCTGAAGGAAAGCGGTGTCCGGAGGATAGTCGTCGGCGACAGGCCGCGACAATGCGCGGCGGAGGAAGCGAAATCGCACGGCTTACATACGGGAGATTACCTCTCGGTATCGAGGTCCCGAAGGAGGCTAATGGGAGAGAAGTCGATCGGTCGACTTTTCGAGTCGCCGCCGTAATTTCTCCTACGCTTGCCGCCGGCGACGCGCCAACACTGACGCGCACGCACATACGAGGGGAGAGTGAGCGAGCGAACGAGCAAGCTACAAAGAGTGAGTAAGTGAGACAGAGACAGAGACAGAGAGAGAGAGAGAGAGAGAGAGAGAGAGAGAGACGATCAGACGCACGCGGGCAGGCTACGTCGGCCCGTTATGGCGCGGCGATTTTCCCCGTGTGCATCCCCATGTGGGACGACCTGTTGTCCTCTCTCCACCTCTCCATCTTCTCCTCCTCCTCCTCCTCCTCCTCTTCCTCCTCCCTTCCTCCCTCCCTCCCTTCCCATCACAATCCTGTCCGTTCACCATCCATCGCAATACCGCGCACGAGGTTAAGGTCATCGCGAGCGAAAAGCCAAGAGATAAATACATTTTCTATTATGGGGGAATAGGATTGCCGAGGCGAATCGTGAATACGACGGGCGATGTGGAAAGGATATTGAATTCAATCAGCTCGGCCACGATTAAATCGCGCTTTTCTCATTTCAATGGCGCGCGTACGTGCGTGCGTGACTGCGCTCCTTTTTCAAGCGCACAAGGACGAAGCCGATCTTCGGCTCCGGATGCCGAGTGCGCGCATAAAAGCGTCGAAGGGCGAGGTTAAAAAGTAAGAGTTCCTAAGAGGTGGACGCGCGATTTTGCGGGAAAATCGGCTGGGGAGCGTGTCGTACGGTTTCCCCCGGGTCACGGGAGCACTAAAAGTCGCGACGGCTGGATTACAGCTGCGCGCTCGAGAACATCGAGAATCGCCTTAAGTTTCTCTCAAAGCGATCGATAAAAGAGGAAAGGGGACGGGAGCAAGCAGCCAGATATCGGTGATTGGCGATAAGGATCGAGCCAAGGGCAGCCGGAGCATTATTGTGGTTTGATTGTGCCGATGTCGATCGAGTTGCGCCAGCCGCGCGACCTTCCGAAATATCGAGACTTGCCCGTTTCATGGTATAAAAGCGCCGTTTAATTGACTTCCGAAGCCAATAAAACGATTGATAAATAATGCGACATGGTCGAGCGACTTTTTTTGTTTCGGTTATAACTTAGTCAACGAAATGTGTCCCGACCTAATGCCCAAGCAAACTCTTAAGTCGAATTAACCATCCGAGTCACTTAAGACCTTCTAATCTACTCAGCGGCAAGTTACATTCACTGTGAAATAGAA